GGAAGTTATTTTATCACGATCACCCTTCCAGGACCTACGACAGCGTTTGATTATCACAACCTCGCCTCTCAGCACATTTCCCTCTCAGCTGCTGCTATATCCTCTCCTCTCCTCATCAAAAATATCGCTGCCCCTCCGTCGTCTACTCCCTCACGCTGGGCAGATCCGACAATCAAATGTTATTGTTGGCCTTGTCTTACGCTCACATATAAAGTAATGGAGCGAGTCCTTCTACTCGTAACCCCCAGGATGCCTCCCTTCTCCTTTGCTAGTAAGTTCCTCAAGAAGCATACCTTCACTACCGTAGTGCCTCTTAACTCTCTCGGAGCCAGACACAGAGGCGTGGTTACGCGTTTCCTGCGCTCCATCAGCCACAGTTAAAACTTTACAAGCTTGAGTCTTCCTCCAATTCTTGGCGTCTCGACTCATCAACTGGATTTCAGTAATACTGGGCTTCCAACAAATTGATTAACATGGGACACAATTCCGTGACAACGGTTCTACACACTAATTTCAATAAAGTTGTGAACTTCATTTGATTCCCTATATTTAAAACCATTTATTTAAAGATCTTTGAAAAGTAAACAGACTGACAGGCAAGAAGAGAGACAAATATACAAACTTACACACACACACACACACACACACACACACACACACACACACACACACACACACACACACACACAGACGGGCAAAGTTTCTTTCAACTAATGGTCCTGTTCACCTAGCAGTAAATGCATGGTAGTTAGGATGCTGCTACGGGCTGCTTCCTGGGAATGTGTGTATGCGAAAATAATACAAGATATAATAGGGAAAATAGGTCGGGAAACCAGATAGTATATTAGACAAGCGACGGTCAGCAAGGCGGGGTGGAAGCAGCCCGTCCTTCTAAGGATTCCCAACATCAAGAAACTATCGTACTTATCCAGTCGAACTTATACTAAGTTCCTTTATCCTAACCTTCCAGACTCAAAACAAAAATCGGTACAATGTCAATTTCGCTAGCCGCTACCATTTTCTAGTACGACGATTTTTTCCTTAAGTAAAGCATGCGTCAAAATGCGACGTTCCATTAGGAGGACAGTTTGTTCCAAGAGTTAACAGCTCGATGCTGCATGCTCAAATAGCAAATACAAATAATAAATACGCACACATAAAAACCACTTCAAAAATGTAAAATTAATTTAAAAAAATAAAAAATGACTCAAACTTCCCAAGGTTATATCAGGTGTTCTCAGAAGAGCTGAAAATCTTGGAGGAAGACGTTGAAAAGGTAGAAAAGGTTAATGTGATAAAAGAAAACCCATCAAAATATAATAAAATGGGCAACAATAGTGTTAAGTAGATCAAGAGAATTAAACTTCTAGTTCTCAGTTATTTTAATCGCAGTCAATTTGACCAGGTAACACAAGATACCATGGAGATGAGGGCACGTGGAGAGAGACAGTAGAAAAGAATATAACCAGGAATTTAATGAAAAGATACATAGTACAGTTAACAAGGAGAGTATGCACAGGCATCGGTAGACTTGATCATTTAGTGTGAGGGTTAAAAATCCCAACCCATCTCATAGGAAACCACAGATTACGAGCTATATTTTGATACCTATCCAATGTCGAAATCTAAAATGAAAACAAATTTACGAAAGATAGTTAAATTGGCAAAAGAAACTTCTTATATTGGGTGACAGAAATGTTAGACGACATTGCTGTGATTGCCTATCCGACCCATGAATTGGTTAAGAATAGATCACAAATTTAACATCCACTAGATGTTACCGCCCTTTAACATCAACTGGTTTTTATATGGAGATAAACATTGAAACTTTCAGCATAAGGACTGTTTAATATTATTGAATTATATTTTACTAGAGTTCTGTTAAATGAGAGCTTTAGAGGAAATACGTCTTAAGTATGAAAAGCTTTAGATGCATGTATATATCATCATTAGAATTTTCATATATATCTTTAATTACTGTATTGTGTTTCTCTTTATCTCTTTATCGCTATCACTTTCCATATTTCTGTTTCTCATTTCTTTTTTCCTTTGCCTAAACTTCTCCAATATCACATTAATCACTGACATGCCTTTCTTCAAGTATTCACAATTTCAATGTCATTCCACAAAGCCTGCACACCAACAAAGACATCTTTAAATATTTTGCAAAGCCCGAGTCCAGCCTCATTAATTCTTAAATGAAATTCCAATAATTATAAGTGGCGCTCGACAATTTGGTCAAGGACCATTTTTGTCTAGCTGAATTGCTTGCCTCACAATTCTCAAAATAATGTTCAATGCAATTTTTAAATTCAAAATGTCAATGAAAGGGCTGCAACGTTGAATATCCATATAGAGAGTAATCATGGGATTAATGTTAGGGGGTTTATTTAGGATTTGCTTGAGGATGCATTTGTTGGTTTTATTTAGAGGGTTTATGTATAGGATTAATTTTGAGAACTTATTGAATAATTTCGATGGTACATTTACCATTTATTAAGAGGAAATAATATAAGAGATTTATTTATAATAAATTTGTGGGATTTTTTACAAAAATAATTCGTGAACGTCATCAGTCATCTTCACTGAATTATTATTGCAGCATTTCAAAGTCTCTTTACACTTCATTCATGTCTGGTTTTGCTCAAAAACTTTCCATTATGTAAAATTTTCAATATATATTATTCTATACATGTAATTCATATTTTGTTGAACCTGAGCAGGATATTAATATTTTGATTTGTTATGCAAATGTTTTAAAATTGTGCATTTCTTGTAATTATTGTCAATTTGACACAACAAAAAATATACATTTACCTACTAATGTATCTTCTCTTAGGTTTATGTGTCGTCCACATGACACCTTGTATAATGATGAAATTGCACTAGGCCTTTTACCAGGATGGCTTGGCATAAGATCTTGCCCATCTGACAAGCACTCACTCAGCACTTTGACTGACGCACACACTCAATCCCTCGACTGTGACACATACCCAAAACCTTGACTGTTTAATAGACGCAGTTCTTTGACTGCATGACGCACACACTTATACACTATGACACACTCACGTCCTTGGCTCTATGACACAAACACACTTTACCCCTTTACTCTATGACTCCCACACTCAACCCTTTAATTGACATATCAACAAACAGGGCAGGTTTAAAGGAAAGGTCAATATAAATTCCATGTCCTCATGCAGATTAGCAAATAGGGCCTTTGATGCCTGATCAGTTTCTGGCTTGACATTCAACAAATTTTGAACCTTCAAACTTTTCAAAGACCTGTTCTCTACGATTAATGAAAACAAATTAAGTTGCCTGCTACCTGATACTTCAAAAGAACTTGTGCAAAATGGACGTAAATCAAATTTAATTAGAAACTGGGTCATGAAAGAATGTCGAAATAAATTTCGATATTAATTACTAATATGAACTTTTCCTAATACACGATAAAATTAACCTATGGAGTTGTAAGTAATAACATTAGGTGTAGGGTGAAGAATAAATAATTGTTGTGTTTGTAAAAGCAGTAGAGTATTAATATTATGATTATCATAATTATTGACAGTAAGCAATCAATACATATTTAATAAACAAATCAAAGGTTTCAGGTAATTATAAAAAATAGATCCAGTTCCTAACATGTAAGTGCATACTTTTCAAAAACACGAAGAGATTGACGTATGTGCTGAATATATAGTTCCTGAACTCCAGCTAGTTAAGCCAGCCACCACAACCCCCTTCATCAATATTTTTGAATGAAAAATACTTCACATACGACTCACAAACCCCTCCCCCGCCCCCCTATTTATAAATGAAAAACACTTCACACGAGACTCAAAAAACCCTCCCCCACCCCTTGTTTATAAATGAAAAACACTTTACACACGACTCACAAACCTTATCTTATGGATTGTTCGTTAGAGGTGAGGTAGATTCCAGAGATACATTCACATATATGACGGTGTTACGTATTCAAAATCGGTATTCACTCATATATTAACGAATATTATTATCAGAATTTGTTTATAGTTTGGTCTATGTTAGGTTTTTAGGTTCCGTTAGGAATTATATTGAGAAAGCATTTATAGCATTCCATTTCTAGAATATGTTCGCCCAAAATACGACCAGCTCCAAAGACGAGTTAGTTAATAGAAATATATTGTGTAATCGTAAACACAAATTTTCTCGAATATAAATTAATGTCAATGTATAATTGTATGCACAATTAGGCCTAGGATAGGTTAACTTAGGTGCTTCATTACGGTTGAAAGTGATTTGATTTTGCAGAACATTGGCGAATGACTTAGAGATTCGATTCGAACAAGGAAAGAAAGCGAAGCACTGTGCAATTAATGTTCGGGCGTAGTTAGTTAAGAGTCTTGTGCAGAGTGATTTTCATTCGTAAGCTGCGAAGAAGCTGAATTGTCGAGTATTTACTAATTATTCATAAGGACGGGTTAGCCACTGTTTATGAGGCCAGGCTCGAAGCATTAGATTTTGCGATTTAATCATAGAAAGTGACCGAAGCATTGTCGAGAAAAGTTCGTACGTAATCACTTGTGATTAATGTGTAAATCGCCTTTCATTCACAAGAAAGAGGGTGCAACTGCAGGATTTAAACAGCCAGCATATGGAAATGTTGAAAATATGATTCTCTTTCATAACTTCCCATTTTCACCCCCTCCCCCCTTTACAAATTATAGCATCGAATGTAGTGTCATAACTGTTGTTCTTAAAAGACTTATACATCGTGTAAAAGTCAAATTTACAGGGTTAGCACTAAATTCAAGTGAAATATGATGTATAATCCTTGGGACGGGAAAACATCTGAGGATATTATAAGGAAATGATTACTTTCCTTCTCTGTGCAAGTTTGCTTAATCAGACCCGGTGTTTTCGTCATTAGGTGAAGGGACATAATTAAACCCGAGTCGGAAGAATATGCCTGAGACAGACACGTGTCTTAAGATGTCCAATTAATATGCATGTAAAACTTAAGTAGAGCAAATGACCATTGTACGCGACCTCAAAGCCTCCAAGACCAGGCTAGGTGGCAGTAGTGCCTCCAAGACCTGGCTAGGTGGCTGCAGTGTCTCCAAGATCAAGGTACGTGGCGGAAGCGCCTCCAAGATCAAGGTAGGTTGCGGAAGCGCCTCAAAGATCAGGGTAGTTGGCGGAAGCGCCTCCAAGATCAAGGTTGGTGGCGGAAGCGCCTCCAAGATCCGGGTAAGTGGCAGAAGCGCCTCCAAGATCAAGGTAGGTGGCGGAAGCGCCTCCAAGATCAAGGTAGGTGGCGGAAGCGCCTCCAAGATCAAGGTAGGTGGCGGAAGCGCCTCCAAGATCAAGGTAGGTGGCGGAAGCGCCTCCAAGATCAAGGTAGGTGGCGGAAGCGCCTCCAAGATCAAGGTAGGTGGCGGAAGCGCCTCCATGATCAAGGTAGGTGGCGGAAGCGCCTCCATGATCAAGGTAGGTGGCGGAAGCGCCTCCAAGATCAAGGTTGGTGGCGGAAGTGCCTCCAAGATCAAGGTAGGTGGCGGAAGCGCCTCCAAGATCAAGGTAGGTGGCGGAAGCGCCTCCAAGATCAAAGTACGTGGCGGAAGCGCCTCCAAGATCAAGGTACGTGGCGGAAGCGCCTCCAAGATCAAAGTACGTGGCGGAAGCGCCTCCAAGATCAAGGTTGGTGGCGGAAGCGCCTCCAAGATCCGGGTAAGTGGCAGAAGTGCCTCCAAGATCAAGGTAGATGGCGGAAGCGCCTCCAAGATCAAGGTAGGTGGCGGAAGCGCCTCCAAGATCAATTTAGGTGGCTGAAGCGCCTCCATGATCAAGGTAGGTGGCGGTAGCGCCTCCAAGATCACGGTAGGTGGCGAAAGCGCCTCCAAGATCAAGGTAGGTGGCGAAAGCGCCTCCAAGATCAAGGTAGGTGGCGAAAGCGCCTCCAAGATCAAGGTAGGTGGCGGAAGCGCCTGCAAGATCAAGGTAGGTGGCGGAAGCGCCTCCAAGATCAAGGTTGGTGGCGGAAGCGCCTCCAAGATCAAGGTAGGTGGCGGAAGCGCCTCCAAGATCAAGGTAGGTGGCGGAAGCGCCTCCAAGATCAAGGTAGGTGGCGGAAGCGCCTCCAAGATCAAGGTAGGTGGCGGAAGCGCCTCCAAGATCAAGGTAGGTGGCGGAAGCGCCTCCAAGATCAAGGTAGGTGGCGGAAGCGCCTCCAAGATCAAGGTAGGTGGCGGAGGCGCCTCTAAAATCCAGGTAGGTGGCAGAAGTGCCTCCAAGATCAAGGTAGGTGGCGGAAGTGCCTCCAAAATCAAGGTAGGTGGCAGAAGTGCCTCTAAAATCAAGTTAGGTGGCGGAAGTGCCTCCAAGATCAATGTAGTGGCGGAAGCTCCTCCAAGATATGGGTAGGTGGCAGAAGTGCCTCCAAGATAAAAATACGTGGCTATGGTGCCTCCAAAATAAAAGTAGGTGGCAATATTGCCTCCAAAATAAAAGTAGGTGGCTATAGTGCCTCCAAAATAACGGCAGGTGGCTATAGTGCCGCCAAGATCTAAGTAGGTAGCTATAGTGCCTCCAAAATAAAGGTAGGTGGCTATAGTGCCTCCACGATCAGGTTAAGAAGTCCAATTAAAATACCCGTAAACCGTAAATAAGGCAAAAGACCTTTGTCCGCGACGTCAATGCCTCCAAGATCAAGGTAAAATGTCTTGGGGCTCCCCTTTGACCATGTGAAGAGGGGCTCCACATGGCCAAAAATATCCCATGAAAACAGAAGGAAATAGGAACGTACCTCGAATTGGTCGATTTCTTTCACACGATGAGCTGTTTTGTATTCACTTACCTGTAATGATAAGAAGACATTCAAAAGTATTAGTCATCTGTTTTTATACATTTCAATCATAAACTAGAAATATATTGCAATCTCCTCATAATTTATCAGTTTTTAATCCAGTATATAAAGTATGTAACGTAGATTAAGTGTACACCTGAGGCTCGAGGTGTTGCTTACCTTGAGAGAAGAGACGAAGGCATTTTGGTCCATCGCCTAGTGAGGTTAGGCAGGGTATAGTAAATGCCTTTTTCCTATTAGTAACTGTTAAACACTTAATTATCCCAAGTCAATATTCAGTAACGTACAGAAGTATTAGTTTTTTTTATTTTCTTGCCTGTTCTTACTGATTATCACAAAGTACTTTTTTGGATCATGCAAGACCAGCACCGAATAATTATAGCACTCGCGAGCAATATAAACACTCGAGATAACGCATTGTTTGCCGTCACAACAGCTAGTTCGCGCGTAACTCACTGTGACCAAACACGCATTTTCTTGTTCGTATCCGGCAGTTTATGTATATTTTCACTTTCACTTTAAACGCTTAAGTCTCACTCGTCACAACATAATCACAGGTAACCTCCTAATGGCCTGACCCACGGAATATAAAGGCTGAGATTATCTTTGTTTTTGGTTTCAAATGAACCTGTTAATAAACCTACTCGAAGCTAGGTGATGCTTCATCCAGCCCGTTTCATCACAGTTACAACTCGTCTTCTGGAAATGTTAATTCCCGAAGCCCGTCATCATCATCAACATAGGTTAAATACTCGTTAATCTAACCGCCGTCATATCCCCCCCCCCTGCTTATAAATTAAAAACAGTTTACACACGACTCATAACAGATGACGTTCGAATATTTCTTTCTGTTGGCGATTATTTGTATTTGTAGTACGTGGGTGAAGCATTTATAGCGTTGTGATTCGAACAAAATTCGTCAGTGAAGCACTTGTTCCGGATATGTTCGAACGTCAGCAGTTGTGAGTCGTGTGTAAACCGCTTTTCATTCATAAACAGGGGGTTTGGCGGGTGCATGGAATCACTTTTGGATCTTTGTTTGGAGGACGGGCTGACATTTCTTGAATAGTGCTTCGCTGACGATTTCTGTTCGAATCGCAACTCAGTAAATGCTTCACTCACGAACTACAAATTTATCTAATCGCCCAGCCCGTCCTCCAAACAAAGTCCCAAAGTCCATTCCATGCACCCACCAAACATTCTGTTTATGAATGAAAAACGGTTTATACACGACTCACAACTGATGACATTCGAACACTTCCGGAACAGGTGTTTAACTAACGAATTTTGTACGAACCACAACGCTGTAAATGCTTCACCCGCGTACTACAAATAAAAATACTCGCCAACAGTACCTAAACACCTAACCTAACCTAACCAGTGCCTAAATATGTACAATATGGTAGTATAAAATAATATTAATTTATTTAAAAGAAAATTCCTGTTTTGAGAGAATAGAATGTTACCATTTATGGATTTGTTTTTGAGATCGACCACTAGATGGAATGAACTTGGTCTGAGGAGGGTTGCAGCTCCAACAAAATCTAAACACTTAACATAACTTACGCTTAGCTATATCTACAACTTTAATAAACAGTAATATCTTTCTATATGAGAACTACAAATTATTAATAGATAATACGTTAAAATTGATGACTGCGTTTGGGACGCAGCCGCAGCTTTAAACAAGAAAATGGGTAGTTCATTCTATCCAGTGGCCGGTTCCAAAGACGCATTCATCGGTTTAAACATGCTGTTCATTGAAAATAGCAATTTCCTGAAAAAAAATATTATTATTGTATATTAGCATATTGTGCATGTGTAGGCGAAGATTAGGTTAGGTATTCAGGGTGTGTTGGCAATTATTTGTATTTGTAGTACGTTGATAAATTATTTATCAAGTTGTCATTTGAACGGAGAACATCAGGGAAGCACTGTTCGAGAAATGTTCGAACGTCATCATTTGAGAGTCGTTTGTTTTTCATTTATAAACAAGAGGGAAGGAGGTTTCATGCATTTTAATATTTAGCTGGATAAAATGATCAGGAAAAAGGGGTGGAGGGACCCTCGACAAACGGCCGGGTTCCTATCCCCGTCGAGGGCTCTTGAGCAGTGTGTTGCAAAGCACGAGTCGCGAACCTTTACTAGGGTACCGAGATGCTGATCACAGGGTCAACAATGTGATCAACAATATTGGGGACCTTACTGACGTGCTTTGTCACCATAATTTTGACCGTAGTTATAAATGTGCGTTCAGGATTTTATTTTAAACAGACTGTTGTTTATCTTTTATAAAACACAGGATCAGACATCAGGCTTTTACTGGACAGTCATTATAAAAGTTCATCAGCTAAGAATGTATAAAATTTCTTTGGTTTCTGGAATTTTGTTGGTTTTATATATGGCAATGTTTTTAATTAATAATGAAGCTGTCATATTTTATGTATACATTAACTTTATTTGGAACACAAAGAAAGTTAATTGTTCCGTCACTGAAGAAGTCAAAGTCTTACAAATATCCTTACTACTGCTTCAAGCCTTACTAAGTTGACCTCCCGACCTATAAAATGTTCATAATCCGTGGCAACACATTGAAGAAAACAGCATCACTGAAGAAAGTGATGCTGTACAATTTGAACAGAATTAAATGTTCAGAGTTTGAACAAAATGTAAGGAACAACACAGTTTCCCCTCTCTGCTTTGTCTGAAAGTATCATTTTCTTGAAAATAAGTTTAAGCGAGAATGTAAAGCATTGGTAAAATGTTTATTTTTGAGGCGCCCCCCCAAAAAAAAAAAAATTAACAAAGTGTTTAAACTAACACCTGAACCAAAAATAATAACCATTTTACGTATAGCTTTATGAACAAGGCAAAACCCACCAGGTTTGCCATCATTTTGAATCCGTGCTACATATGATTATCTTAGGAAGAGTACTTTTTTGTAGCTTCCTTTTATGGTTTGTTTCAAATGCCATGTTAAATTTTCGGCTCTGACAAGATTAAAAACAAAATGGAATCCGACTTGACAATTACAGCACTACCGTGTGTTCCTGCGGATTCGTAATTACAGCACTACGAACCAGAGCCAGGATTAATCAAGCATTTATGCTTCATCTTACGAAACCTCTACATCTTTACTAAATGTAAACAAAGACAAAATGTAGTAAACAGTTGCTCTTCGAAACTTCACTACACAATGTTTAACAATAAAAACCATCTCTTAGAGCTTTGGAGTTCATGAGCTGTTCCCTGAATATAGAAGCAGCCCTGATTAACGATTTATACTTTTCCTCAGTGGTTACGTAAATATCTTATGAATCCAGCTCAATATTGGACCAAAATAACGAGGGGGAAGTCCACGAAACACTATTCATTGTATGAACCAGAATGGGCCACCGTAAGTAACAAGGAGATTCGTCAGTTACACTGTCATCGTGCTAACAATTACATTAAAGTGAGGAATCAATGAGAACATAAATAGGAGCCAAGTGGAGTATTCGAACCTGCACACTGGGGTACCCCCAAGCACAATCCTCATTTTTACACATTTTTTGTGTTTCTTTGACCATTTGAAGAGTATGTAGGGGGAACTCTTATAACACAGAGTGCATGCGAGTAATATGGGAAACAGAGCTTCAGTGGAAGCTTCAGGCCACCCCCTCCCCCCCACCTACAGATAATCAAGTTGAGTTCCAAGATACATTTCTTTTGAGCATCTTGTGGTTAAGTGGTTTAAGATGTGTCCTTTGGATTATCCACTGTGTAGGTTCGAGTCCTCCTTAAGGCTACTACTAATTCTCTCTCTGATGCATCACATTAATGTGATACTGGCGTACATGTAAACCATTTATATTTGTAGCAGAGTTTCTTTAAAACACGCTATTGAATATGACAGTGTTGGATCAATTATTCTAGCACAAACCTTCTACACGTGTTTTCTTAACAAAATAGGGGGGGAAAAATGACGAGCTTATCACTACAAAAGTTTATTTAAATGGCCTTGCGCCAAGAAGCGAGTTTCATTAACCCGGTTAACATCTATGGAGTCTGGCCGACGGTTAGTAAGTCTGGCAATAAGAGGCGAGAGCTCTATTACAGAAGCACAAATGGTAAACACAGATAGTCAATATAGTCACCATGAAGGATAAGCATAAGACAAGCAGTATAAACAATCTGTGAAAAATAATTGTTTATATAATCACATATTCAAGTACATGGCATAAGTTATTGAAATAATGTTTAACTGACTTTTGTATTGCGCTTCCGCTGTCTACAATCTGATTGGCTCTTCAGCCAAATACACAATGCTTCGCCAATAGGAGTACGAACGAGAGCCGAGAATCACATTTATTGGCAGTTGTTGCCGTGGGTATTGGCACACTAGTTTCCCGAATTACTTTTCGTACCATTTGTTTTTAGTTAATCGGTTTACGGGTAATATTAAGCGTGCATTGTCTGCTTCAGCAGCTTACAAGGCAGAGGGAAATTTATGTAAATGAATGTTGGGAAAATATCAAACAATTCATCGCCCACACAATTCTACATTTAAAAGTGTTCCGATGTTACTGGTTCTCAAATAATACGCTGCCAAGCTTTAACTTTATTAAGGAACTTAAATACGAACAGCTGGAGGATAAGTCTGGATATTACTCTGGTTTACCGTCGAACCATCGTGCCTGCACCGAAAATAAGAGTATTTTAGTAACACATTAAGTAAGTAATTTAAAAGTTAAGAGTAAGATTTTACAGTACAAGATTACAGTAATATAAACTTTGGTTAGTTTAAACATGTAACGATAAAACCTGCCTCAAGATTTGGAAAAGCAAAAATTATGACAATTAGCAAACACATATGGTAACGCACCGATTGATATTCTTACTGTAATTGAACTTAACTATGCCAGCAAGAAGTAGAAATGTTGGTTTCCATGCTGGGAAATGCCAGGTTAAAAGTTTAACTAAAAAAGTGTCAAGATCTCAAAAATATTCACCAACGTTATGCGTACAATAATCAATATATAATGGGACGAACAATGGCCATAAAAGAATTACATTACAGTCACAATTTAACCCATAAACTCACGCTTGTTACTTACGTTATCCACTAAGAAAGCGAGACGTTGCTGAAGCGACGTTCGAAGATCACTAGTTCAAAGTCGCAAAGATCCAGTTGGCTCCTGTAATATAAGAAG